ATAAATGTGCAAGATTTGTAAATAAATGTGCAAGATTTGTAAATAAATGTGCAAGATTTGTAAATAAATGTGCAAGATTTGTAAATAAACGTGTAAGATTTCCTTATAAAGGTACAAGATTTGTAAATAAATGTGTAAGATTTCAAGGGAGATAGCTAAACATTGATAAAATTTGATAGAATTTCAAAAAACTTTGTAAGATTTCTAGACAGAGATCCAAAACTAATGCAATAACTATAACATTGATTGTTCTGTTGGTACAAACTGGAACATTTTTGCAATATTTAAGTCAATAATCTTAACAAAGGTTTAGGGAAGGTAAATTAAAGCATAAATACTAAATCTTGAGATCTATTGTTTTAACTAAACCTTATTTATTTTGGTTTATATTTGATTAGGGTGGAGGGGGCAAGAGGGGAAGGAGGGGCAATAGGGGCAAGAGGGGCAAGAAGGGCAAGAGGGGCAAGAAGGGCAAGAGGGGCCAGGTGGGAAAGAAAGGTCAGGAGGGCATGGGGGAAAACTTGAAAAGAGGGCACGGGGAGCAAGGGGCAAAGAAACAAGGGGAAAAGGAGGCATGGGAGCATGGTGGTGAAGGGGAAGGAGAGTTGGCCTAAATCTTGGACATCCAACCAATTTCCGGCACACTGACAGATAATTATAGTTGGTACAATATTATTAAAAACTATAGATAATGAAGATTCTCTCCATTGGTCCGTGAATACAATATTAATCGGCCATACTTTTAAAACATGGTTAAATACCATTACGAAAAAAGAAGAAAACACAATATTGGAAACTTTGATTGTAGGACACAGTTAATTGGGCCGCTCGAAACTATATTTATAGTAAGCAAAAACCTTCAAATACTGAACCATTATCAATTATATTAAACAATAAAAACTATGAGTAATTGATAAATATTTTGATTTATGCCAGTCCTCTCCATGTTACAGTTTGCCCCGTAATGTGCGTGAGAACCAAGTCCGTTTAATGAGCCAAACTACGGGCAGGTGTGGGGGGTTAACGTGCTCAGGGGGCTGGGGAAGGAGCAGATAGGGAAAGAGAAGGAGAGGGAAGAGGAGGGGTAGGAAAAAAGAGAAGGGAGGAGGAAGATGAGGGTGAAAGAAAGGAGAATGAGGATAAGGGTTAGGAGATAGGGGAAGGAGAATAAGGGGTAGGAGGAAAGTAGGGGGAGGAAGGAGAAGAATGAGGAGAAGGAGAAGGGACGGCAGGGAGAAGGAGAACGAGGTTTCAGAGATTATGTAAGGAGAAGGAGGAGTAGGAGGAAGGAAAGCATAGGAAGGAGGCAGGACGGGAAATAAAGTTGAAAATACTATATATATATATATATACTTTGTTCCCTTTAACCCTTTTTCCTTTGATGTTTTTGTCCTCAAAATTCTTTACTGTACTCTGTCTGTACACTGTACAGTGTCTCTGCACTGTAAAGTGTCTGTACACTGTACAGTGTCTGTACACTGTACATTGTACATACAAATGTGCATCTAAACTAAAATAAATTGATTAATCCAGTGCACTGACCCTTTTTGTCTTCTATAGTCTGCATGTAATGTAACATGTACAAATTGCTCTAGTTACCAAGAGGTTGACCCGATACTTCAAAGTTTCCAAATTCCAGAGCCCGAAATTTAATAAAGTATTGAACAAAACCTCCAAGTTCCTTTTTGGGGCTAAACATTTATGTAGATTTGGATTTAAGAAATTAGAAAAAAATGGAGAATATAAAGAAACCAAATAAAATAATATTTTGTAACAAAAATATTGGTATCTACAAAACTGCCTAACCCCAGTCATGAAACTGGGTTTCCGACACTGGGTTTCATGACGATACCCTGTCTTAAGTTTCGAGCTCTGAGCCCAAAACTTAAGACAGGGTATATTTATGAAAACCAGTTTTAAAACCCGGGTTTTACGAATGGGATTAAGCAGTTTTGTGGATATCGAACGAGAAACATGAAGACTGAAGAGGGGAAATAAAGGATGTTCATTCAACAACTGGAGGCGGGACAATATAACTAGAGGAAACTTTAAATTAATCTAAGGAATATAAAAAAGGATTATAATAAAAAACAAAATATGTTCGAATGAATGTATTATTCAACATTCATACTGAGAAATTATACAAAAAGACTAAATGCGTCACAAGAACCGGTTATATTAGCGATTTTAGCTTAATTTATATTACAAATATTTTTCCTCATAGCACTGTAAAACTTAACTAGCTTGGAAACCCAGCTTTCCCTGGAGATCTGTGTAAGTGTTTAAACCAAGCTCAAGTTCCCAATAGAATTTTGAGGCAAATCGGTCAAAGGGTTCATGAGTTATGATCGGACGGTCAAAGAAACAAACAGATACTCAAAGATTACTACTTTATATAACAGAAATAGATTCCTAATTTGAACCAATTCAACCCGGTCGTAAACTAATATATTTAACACTTACTATTTAAATATTTAAATAAATGATGAAATTATTTAATAGTAATTATGATTTATGAATATTGTTATCCCCCTCTCTTCCATTTACCCCTCCCCCTCTATCCCTCTTCCCCCCCCCCTTGTCCTCCCTTGACTGATTCCTTTGTACCGAATCATTAGCCAACATTATCTTATTGCCTCATTCTAGCTTGCAATATTGTTATAAATACATCTTGTTACAAAACCTATTTAGGCTTTAAATATACATTTTTAAAATTTCAAACATTGTTTTGAAGTTTTCAATGTTTTCAGTTGAATGATAATAATTTTATTTTGATGTATTTTGTTCTTTGAAAATAATTACATCAAGCTGTCAAATTTTTTATGTTGTCTGTCCTTCTAACTATCTAATTGTCAAGTTGCCTTAATGAGAAGCCCTCTAACTATCTAGTTGTCATGTTGTCTTACTGACTGTCCGTCTAGTTGTCTTGCTGACGGACTCTAACTATCTAGTTGTGTAGCTGTCTTGATGACTATCCGTCTAACTGTCTAAATGTCAAATTGTCTTGCTGGATATCCGTCTAACTATCTATATGTCAAGTTGTCTTGTTAACTATCCGTCTATCTATTTAATTGTCAAGTTCTCTCGCTGAGTATCCGTCTAACTATCTAGTTGTCAAGTTGTTTATCCGTCTAACGGTCTAACTATCTATAGAGTTGTCAAGATGTCTTGCTACTC